TAAAATATTCACTTTTCGATTATTTTACCTTAATACTTTTATGTACAAAATAATGAGAGGAATCAATTGGCGTAAAGAAAACATATAGTTGTTTTTAAGAAAAAATATGGAATTGTTAATTGCAAATTACATATTTTTTCTTAAAAACAACTATATGTTTTCTTTACGCCAATTGATTCCTCTCATTATTTTGTACATAAAAGTATTAAGGTAAAATAATCGAAAAGTGAATATTTTACAAGATATTTTACGGTTTATGTAAAATTAAGAAATGATTTGAAGCATCATAACTCGATAAATGCTTGAGGGAAAAATATTTTATTATAGTGTTTTGGAAAGCTCTCGAGGTCAGCTATAAGAATATACAATCAAAAATAGGGGTTCCTATTTAAAAAAAACACTTTGACCTTCAAATAACCTTGAAGGTCAAGCTCAAGGTCAAATTGAAGGTCACCGTTGAATTCCTCATTGAAAATTACTTCAGAAATGACCTTGACCTTTTTCAAAAATACCTTACATGAGAAAATATTCAGCCGTCCCGGGACTTAATTGACACCCTGTATATATACAGTGTGTCCGTCAATTTTCGACCTTAACGAAATAAAGAAGTAGATTGGCTCAAATTAAGAAGGAATGACCTGTATTGTTTTGGGATTGTCGCAATAATTAACGAAATATTAAATAAAGAAGATCGGCCAATCTGCGTGAGTAGAAGTGCGCGGCGACGAGAGTCGTCCCACTGTAATCCGATACTACGAGCGCGGCGAAGCGGTGGGCGGGTCGCTCTTCGAGACATGATAGTGGTTTGCGATATATCGCAATATCGCGCCGAAAAATGACCCGTCCTTTTAGTGGCGAGAAAATGATGCGCTAGCATTTCCACATCACCTTGCGGTAGATATCATGGTGCGCTTTTTTTATAGTGGTTTCCCCAATAGGCCTATTCCACTCTCAATTTGAAAATTATTCAAAATGCCATTATTATACGCTAAATATATCGTAAATGTAAAAAATTAATGGTGACAGTACCTTTACAAAAATTGATCCGTGGTTGAAAATCCCTCGATAAAATGTATTGCACACGTTGATAATGATACGATGATAAAATGCTTCAAGAATCCTTTCTTCATCTCGTACACGAAGGCGCACTGCTGGACTGGTTATCCCGATATTATGCACGACACCCAGTTTCACATAACTATTGCACAACACGTAAAATTGTACGGCCACTTGGTTTTCGTGCACGCCCGAGAAATGATTCCATGTAAATTGCGGCCGCACGTAAGTAATCATAGTGCGCAGGTGTCGAACGTGGTCTCACACGTACGCTTACATTCACATGTCCGCTCAGCTGTCAGCTGTAGTTGCGTGCTGCTGGCGTACGCAGTCTGGTAACAGCGTGCGAGAGCTAAGACGTTTTAATAAAAATCTTGTGTTTGCGTAGTAAATTAACAGAGAAAATGAAGTCTGCAGGAATATACGAATATGATTGTGGCATACGGACTAACGGGAGAAAATACTTATCGTGCGATGGCAATTTACATGGAATCATTTCTCGGGCGTGCACGAAAACCAAGTGGCCGTACAATTTTACGTGTTGTGCAATAATTATGTGAAACTGGGTGTCGTGCATAATATCGGGATAACCGGTCCAGCAGTGCGCCTTCGTACGAGATGAAGAAAGGATTCTTGAAGCATTTTATCATCGTATCATTATCAACGTGTGCAATACATTTTATCGAGGGATTTTAAACCACGGATCAATTTTTGTAAAGGTACTGTCACCATTAATTTTTTACATTTACGATATATTCAGCGTATAGTAATGGCATTTTGAATAATTTTCAAATTGAGAGTGGAATAGGCCTATGGGGGAAACCACTATAAAAAAAGCGCACCATGCTATCTACCGCAAAGTGGTGTGGAAATGATAGCGCATCATTTTCTTGCCACGAAAAGGGAGGACGGGTCATTTTTCGGCGCGGTATTGCGATATATCGCAAACCACCATCATGTCTCGGAGAGCGACCCGCCCACCGCTTCGCCGCGCTCGTAGTATCGGATTACAGTGGGACTCTCGTCGCCGCGTGCTTCTACTCACGTAGATTGGCCGATTTTCTTTATTTAATATTTCGTTAATTATTGCGACAATCCCAAAACAATACAGGTCATTCCTTTTTAATTTGAGCCAATCTACTTCTTTATTTCGTTAAGGTCGAAAATTGACGGACACCCTGTGTATATATATATATATATATATATATATATATATATATATACAGGGTGAGGCATCTAAAACAGGCCACCTGAATAACTCCGTTGGTAAGCCGAATATAAAAAAATTGTTCAGACAAAAGTTGTATAGTTTCAAGGGGGACATATGATGGTGTCATTAGTTTAATCTTGAAGAGCCACCCGAAGGTCACATGAAGGTCAGCTCCAACTTTTAAATGGGACACCTTATATGCTTTTGCATATTCTTGTAGCTCATCTCAAGAGCTTTCCAAAACACTACAATTATGTTAGTTTTCATTAAATACTTTCCAAGTTATGAGGCTTGAAATCATTTTTTAATTTTACATAAACCGTAAAATATCTTGTAAAATATTCATTTTTCGATTATTTTACCTTAATACTTTTATGTACAAAATAATGAGAAGAATCAATTGGTGTAAAGAAAACACATAATTGCTTCGAACAAAAAAATGTAATTGTTAATTGCAAATTACATTTTTTTGTTCGAAGCAATTATGTGTTTTCTTTACGCAGACTGTTAACATTTTGCTTACTGGGTTGTTATAACAGAAAATTATTTATTATGACAGAAAATAATAAAGAAATGTTCTAAATCGAAAAACAATTTGAGGTTAGAATAGCATTAGCCCTTTGAACCCCCCCGCGCGCGGGGGAAAAGTATATTTCTTTAATTGTATACATATATACATATTTCGTATTTATGTAGGCAAACATAAAACCCGGAGATATGTTTGCCTACATAAATACGAAATATGTATATATATATATATATATATATATATATATATATACAATTAAAGAAATGTACTTTCCCTCATACAAGAAATAAATTTTGTTTGTTGATTCTAAAATATTGCGTGCGTCCTAAATTTTTATGTAACAAAATCGAAATATATCCTTTCCTTTCATAACGACGCGGCATCCGACACGGCTTACAACTGCCAATCAGCCGATATTACATTTGTCGTAGAACAAACTTTTTAAGCGGATTGATTGGCTACAGTATAGAAAATTTCTGAAATCTCTATTTTGTAGCCAATCAATGCGCTAAAAAGATTGTCGCACGACAAATGTAATATTAACCTCAGAAATTATCTTTTTTGGATCACTGGTCACTGGATGCGTTCAGAACACACAACAGTTAAGAAACGTTACTAGATTAATCTATATTATATCGCCATATAATAAAATCTAGTAATATAATCTAGTAAATCGACTGTTGTGTGTCCTAAACGCATTCAGTGACGCAAAAAAAATAATCTCTGATTGGCTATTGTAGGGTGCGCCGGAAGCAACCTCATGGTGTAGGAAAGATAGGTATAATTATTTCGATTTTGCCTCATAAAAATCGAAAATCGATTAATGGACCGACAAAAAAATTGATGAAATATAATCGATTTAAATATTTAAATTAAAGAATCGACATCACTGATTATAATTGAAAAACATCTTCCTAGTCCCTAATCCCTAGTGTGTGTGTGGCCACAGCGAAGAAGTGTCGATTAAGTGTACTTCTTGATTGTGTAGGTGCTGTCAATGTTTAATTACGGCCATTTCGAACGTGATGAAATTTATCCGTGGCCATTTCTAATGTGGCCGTTTCGAACGAGTGGCCATTACGAACGTGGCCGTTTCGAACGTGGCCATTACGAACGAGTGGCCATTACGAACGTGGTTAAATTTATCCGTGGCCATTTCGAACGTGGTCAAATTATATCTCAATGTTATATAATTATACTCAATGTTATCATCTAGATAGAGTTGTCGGATGTCTAACTCTTGAATCTGAGTGCTTTAAGAACTCTTTTTGATAACTTATTGCTCACTGGGTAGTCATTTCATGTCCATGGACATGTGGATGTAAAATGGACATAAACCGAGGGTGTTTACGACAATTAATCGGATCTCTGATCGGACTGAGCAGTGGTACTCAGCGATAGACTTCCTAAATTTCCCTAGACTAATCCGAATCAATGATGTGTCTCTGAAGTAATCAAATTAGATTAACAGTCATCGAAAGAAATTACGGTCGAAAAAATTGTGAAAAACATCATAAGAAATTATAGAAGATACTTTATTATTCTTTTAATTAATATATCTTTATTTATCAAATATATATTAATAAACAAATGTATTTTACTGGAATAAGATGTTTTCTATAAAATAAGAATAAGTTGTTAATCTAATTCGATTACTTCAGAGATACATCATTGATCCGGATTAGTCTAGGGAAATTTAGAAAGTTATCTATCACTGAGTACCACTGTTCAGTCTGATCAAAGATCCGATTAATTGTCGTAAACACCCTGAATGTCCTGTGCTGTCTGGGTATTTAATTTTTATACTAATTTATTTTGTAGATATATCATGAAATCGAAAAAAATAAAGATACTTTTTGGTAAAGGAAATTATTAAGTGGCGACAAAGTCCACAATTATTAATAGCTGAAGTAATTCGAAACTGTTAAAATTATATTTATTATATAGAAGAATGAAGAGGAGAGAAGAATAAAATATTCAGAGAAGAATCTGGGTTCGTCCTATATTTACCGTGAGACAAAGAATGTTACAAGGTGCAAGCAATAATCTTAAAGAAATGGAAAATTCTGATCCAGATGAACCGACATTCAAACTTTACTAGATAATTCTGATTGGTTGATCACCACTCTAGTACTTTTCTGAGATTCCGTTTTCCGAAATTCCGTTGTGACAGTCATGTGACAGCACCCTCAGTATAGTAATAAAGAACAAACTTACTTGTGAACACTTGATGATTTCGATGTAACAGTCTGAAGATATTTTATTAATACATATATTAAAATGGAGATACCTGTGAATTTTATGGAGAAGTATATTCTTGAATTGATTTTGTTGACGATATGGCTACTGTACTTTTGGAATTATTATTTAAATTTACGTCAGGTAATTTATATTGGCTTCTATTCTAACCTTTTATAATTTTTCTAAATTTTATTATTTTAGTAGAATATGTATTTGCATAAAATACTACATACAACTCGCATATACTAAGAATTAATTTTTTTTGTGTTCAATATTTATATGTATTTATTATATTTTTACAATTGAATAATTGTACATGCATATGTCAAATAATATAAGTCAAAGTCGTATTATAATTAAATATTTAATAAGAATTAATAATATATATTTTTTTGTGTCTTCAATATTAATGCTTTCAATATATACAATTATTATATAAAAGATCAAGAGATTGTACATTTAGAAGTTTATATAAGTGATATAATTAAAGTTAATTTCTTTTAAATATTACAGAGGAGATTAATGCAAGAATTGGTTGATTTACCAAAATCTGTTGAAGGATTAATGACTAAAGATGTGTACGAAAAGGCTCGTGCATATGCATTAGACAGAAATAGCTTTGGTATTATACAAGACATATATTCTAAGATTTTTAATACGGTGAGAATTATAAACAATTTTTGATATTGTGTACTTTTGACTAGCAAAGAAAATTTTTATAATTTTATTTTGTGGTCAGCATTATATTGCATTAATCCTCAGTATTATATAATTTATTGGTTTTATAGATAATATTAGTGGCTTATGGCTATTATTATAGTTGGCAATGGAGTATCAAAATAGCTAAATACTTTGGCATTAATGAAGAAAATGATATACTGCTAAGCGCAATATGTATGTTTATTATAAATGTTATTTCTCACATAATTAATCTGCCATTAGTGATATATGATACTTTTATTTTGGAAGAGAAGCATGGTTTCAATAAACAGGTAAAACTCTTTAAGTAACATTTTCCATCTCTTATTAGATAAAAAATGATACGAAATTAAATAAAATTCTGTTAATTTCCTTAATTAAATGTTTTTAGACAACTGCATTTTTTATTAAAGATGAGATTAAAAAATTTGTTGTATCTCAAATTATTGCATTGCCTCTTCTCTGTGGCATGATTTGGATTGTGAAAAATGGTGGTGATTATTTCTTCTGGTATTTGTGGATATTATCAGTGGTGGTCTCATTATTTATGATGGTCTTGTATCCAGAAATAATAGCCCCATTGTTTGATAAGTATTCGCCATTACCCGATAGCGAATTGAAACAAAAGATTGAAGAATTGGCAGCTTCTTTAAAATTTCCCTTATACAAGTTATTTATAGTGGAGGGTTCTAAAAGATCATCACATAGTAACGCTTATCTGTACGGTTTTCACAAACATAAAAGGATTGTTCTTTTTGACACTCTTATTAAAGGTTATTGTAAGAAAGACGATGATGCTGATAAAGATTGTGGCTGTGAAACAAACGAAATATTAGCAGTCCTTGCACATGAATTGGGTCATTGGAGACATAATCATACTTTGAAAGGATTTCTTCTTAGCCAGGTAAATAATGTAAAATATTTTTAAGTCTATTTATATCTTATATTTTATCTTTTTATTTTGGTGTTACTTAGTAGCCTAATAATTGTTATATGGTATATCTCTCTCTCTCTCTCTCTCTCAATCCAAAATATCTATTATAACAAATTGTTCATTTATAACAAATAGTTTTTACACCTTTTATTAAACCAGGTGTCCAAAATAAACCAATAGAAATTTTTATTTCGAAAATATCTCATATTTTTGAGAAAAATTGCTCAGACAAGAATTATCTTTCAAGGAGGAAATATTATGGCAATTTATTTTTTTATTTGGTGGAAAGTTTCAAGATCAACTTTGTTTTTTAAATGGGAACCTATGTTTTTTATAGCAATATATTCTATGTTGAAAAATAAGTAACTTTTGTCTGAAATATTTTTTTATCTACTTTCAATTTTTGTGAAAATTTGACAAAATATCTTATGGGATTCAAAAAAATATCAATAATCAGCAATAATTTTAAATGTTTTCCTTGAAAATGGGTAGGTAGAGATAAGCTTGTGAATTAGTTAGCACATTTATCAAACTTGACATCATTAGATTTTGTCTGAGGCTTTATAAAAGAATATATCAACTGTGTCTCATAACACCTAAAAATTTAATAGATAGAATACATCGAGTCTGTACACAAATCATAAATATTAACTAATCATAAATATTAACTAATTGAAGATGTTTTCATGAAAGAATTCTAAAGTGTACTAAAATTAAAGGACATTGTTTTGAAAATTTAATTGATTGTTGATCATTTAAATTAATATTTAAGTAATATTATTTATGTTTAAAATTTCAAGAGTTTGTTTTTTTAATAAATCATATGTTTGAGTTGAAATATAAAACGTTCAAGTTATTAATTTCATTCATTCAACATAATTTTTGAAAATAAATTTTTTTAAAGAAATTATTTGTCATAATTTGCAATTATTATTTCAAGCATGCAGTAAATACCTTTGCAGGTTTGATTATACTCTTTACTCTTTACATATCTAAAGAGAAATACAACAGAAAAGTTCAAATAAAAGCTACTTATTAACTTTATTAGCTCAAAATAAATATTTTTCATCTTTTGTACTTTTTTTCAAAAGCTGCTGATTATCGATATTTTTAAAATTTTTTAAATGTAAAAATATTTTGTCAAATTCTCGCAAAAATTGAAGGTGGGTAAAAAAATATTTTAGAAACGTTACTTGTTTTTTAATATAAAATATGACAGAAAACTGATAAAAAGCCGTAGGTTTCCATAAAAAAAAAGTTAATCTTCGAATGACATAGACGCCATAATATTTCCCACTAGAGAAATCAGATAATTCTTACCTGAATAAATTTTCTTAAAAATGCTTTATTTGCGGGATAAAAATTTGTAATGTTCTACTCTTTGCACACCAAGTACATAAGGATTAGAATAACACATATCTATATTGAAAATAGTTATTATGTCAAATATTATGTCTGTTTCATTAATTATATAGTATTATATTAATTATGCAGTAGCGTAATTATTATATAGTTACTATGATTTTTAAATTTGATATTTGAAAATAATAGATTTGGAAAAAATCTTTTATTTATGATCTACTATTTATGATTTTATGATCAATTAACTATGTCAAATTAAATTGTTTCATGTGTAAATAACTAATTAACTCCGATACATTTTTATTAAAATTGGATATCACAAATGTCAACAAATATCAATAGACATCTATATACATCTACCCAATAGATGACCTTCGTTTTACTATATTATTAGAGTCATGCTGATAAATATAATGCAATAACTTTAAATAGTCTTATTATTTATTTTGAAAATATTAAAAATTTTTATTTATTTCACCATTTATTAAATAAAAAATTAGATATATTTAATTTTATATAATTTTTAATATTTAATATTTTGTATTTAATAAACAAGAATGTGTTAGATATACAAAATATTTTTGTTAAATTAAGTAATTATTTTTTAAATACATAATTATACATGCATATACACGGTGGACCAATAACTCTGTCCACCTGGAATATCCCCGTTATTTTTAGAGATACAAAAATTTTGTACTTATAAAAGTTGTACGGTACCAAGAGGGCCGTAATATGTTATTAATAATTTTTTTGTAAGTGTAGGCGCTTCAGAAATTTCAAGTTCATCTCCATTTTTTTAAATGGAACCCCCCATTTTTTATTACCTATTCTTATAACTTATCTCGAGAGCTTTCCAAAACACTATAATAAAGTATTTCTTCATTGAGTACTTTTTGAGTTATGAGGGTTGAAATCATTTCTTAATTTTATTAATATAAACCATAAAATATTTAGTAAAGTATTCATTTTTCGATTATCTTACCTTAATGCTTTTATGTACAAAATAATGAGAGGAATCAATTGATGTAAAGAAAACATACAGTTGTTTTTAAGAAAAAATATGAAATTGTTAATTGCAAATTACATATTTTTTTTTTTAAACTATTTTAAAAACTATTTTTTTTAAAAACAATTTTTTTTAAAACTATTTTTTTAAAACTATTTTTTCTTTAGACCAATTGATTTCTCTCATTATTTTGTATATAAAAGTATTAAGGTTAAGATAATAAAAAAATGAATATTTTGCTAGATATTTTATGGTTTATGTAAAATTAAGAAATTATTTCAAGCCTCATAACTCGAAAAGTACTCAATGAAGAAATACTTTATTATGTGTTTTGGAAAGCTCTCGAGATAAGCTATAAAAATAGGTAATAAAAAATGGGGGGTTCCATTTAAAAAAATGGAGATGATCTTGAAATCTCTGAAACGCCTCCACCTACAAAAAAATTATTAGTAGCATATTACGGCCCTCTTGGTACCGTACAACTTTTATACGTACAAAATTTTTGTATCTCTAAAAATAACGGAGATATTCCAGGTGGACAGAGTTATTGGTCCACCCTGTATATACTAGAGACGGACAAATATTCTATTCCCGTTTTAGTCTCGACAGTCTTTGTTACGTGTTTCGATCGAATGTACAAATAAATAGACTGGAAATGAGATAAAGATTGCCTGCTGTAACGGGAACTGAGATCTTTCAGTAGTGTCGAGACTGAAGAAAAATCGAAATTTTTAATTAGCGATTTCCGACTATTCTCGAAGTCGAGACCATATGCAATATGAGATGTGCGAATAAAATCGTGAATAAAATTCTTTTTCATTTGTAACTCATTTATTTAAGCAACTTTGCACAAAGAATCTAAAAATTATTAATAAAAGAAAAGAATCGCGCATGTATCAACTGAAAATAAAAAGAAAGAATCGATAAGAAAAAGAGAAAAGAATCAATAAAATAAATAAAACTTTTTAATAAATAAATAACCAAAAAAAATTATAAATAAATTGTATTGATAAAAATTATTAAATAATTAAAATTAATTTAATTTAATAAATAGTAAAATACGCTTCAAATAGAACCGAAAAAAAAAAAAAAAAAAATATATATATATATATATATATATATATATATATATCTCCGAAATATATGTAACGTAAACGAATACGTAAACAGTGTAGCTACCTTATTAAATTATTAGTAATTATTAAATAAATAAATTAATAATATAATTATAAATAAATAAATAAAATTATATATATATATATATATATATATATATATGAAGTTAGGAAAATTTATTATAATTGTAAGTAAATTATAAATGTAATTATAAATATTATTTAAATTATAAGTATTATTTACGATTTATGCAATCAAGATTAAAGTCGATAAAAAATCCCTTTGCTTTGCTAGAATTTCTTTTTTGGATTTGCTAGTAAGAGAATATAATTTAGCACTGCTAGTAGAAGAAAATATAAAACGTATTTTAACTATTTTAATCAATTTCATTAGATAATTTGTACATGTTTCCTGTTACTTTAATATATTTTTCAGAAGAATCACTTCTAAACTTATTTTACCACATTATTGAATTATATTAAATTTTTCTATTTTATCTTTTATATTATAAAATTTATCATTATTAAAAAAATTATTTTTTAATTTTTAATTTTTAATTTATTAATAATTTTCACATTTTAAATCAAAATAATTAAAATAAATGAATAGCACATAAAATGCAATTTAAGTCATGAATTTATTGTTGCGCTAAACGCTAGATTGTTTCGATTTCGGTTACTGAATCTCGAGTCTTATTTACTTCCACTCCATCTAACAAAGCATCAAAATTCTGAATCTTGTTCAATCTTATGTTCTCAATAACAGCGTTCCCGATAATATAAGTATCGAGACTCTAGTCTCGCTGATGGGAATGAGCGGGAGAGAGTAGATTTGCCCGTCTGTAATATATACAGAATGAATCTGATAAAAAGTTCATTATATTTTTTTCCAAGATAGTTAGAGACAAGAGAAGATTACTCATTATCAAAATTATAAGATAAATAGAGGCATATACTATATGGTGATCTTAAGGAATGTAGAATATCCTTGATTTTCATATTACCAGCTATAATTCTCTTTTTTTTATAATAATAAAAAGAAGATATCTTTGAGAAAAAAAGTAGTAAACTTTTTATCAGACTCATCCTGTGCGTGCGTGCGCACGTGTATGTTAGTATATATCTTGTTTCTTCTTTCAGATAATGTTTGTAGCCAATTTTGTTATGTTTGCAAAACTCTTACGATATACACCAATGTATAACGCTTTCGGTTTTGTGAACTCTCAGCCCATCTTTATTGGTCTAATTATAGTAACAATGTATATTTTAATACCGTTGAATACAGTAAGTATTCAAATTTTTTTATCAGAATTCTTATTGTGCATGAAACAAATTTATAAAATATTAAATGAAATATTAAATAAAATTAATATTAAATAAAATATTATTTATTCAAATCATTTTGAAATTTCTAGATATTCAATTTCGTTAGCGTGGTGATTGGCAGAAGATTTGAATTTCAAGCAGATGAATTTGCTACAAGATTAGGTCACGGCGAAGCTTTGAAAGCAGCTCTGTTAAAACTACAAAAGGACAATTTGGGATATCCATTGTTCGATAAATTGTATTCCAGTTGGCATCATTCGCACCCGCCTATCATCGAGCGTTTAGAAGCGATAGATAAAAAAAAGTGAGATTTGAAGTTTTTCAATTCACACGGTTATCATAAATGGTTTGCAGACGTAAAAGATAAAGTCCATAGCTTACCGATACGGGTATTAATTATTATTTAAATTATTTACATTTTATGCATTTTTTTAAATTTTATTTTGCTATCTTAAGTGAACATAAACATAGTCACAAAACAATAATGCTTCCTGTTTAGTCTTACAATATTAATATGATCATTTAATATTCTATTTTTAATTTTATATCCTCCCTTAACTTAATAAAACTTAATCGAATTAGAGAATAAATTTCTAATTGAATTTTTTGATATTATTTAATATTTTTATAGACTACTTACTTTTTATAGACTTTTCCTATAGTATTGCATTTGATATTTATATGTATAAACATCTTTCCAATACTATTTATATATTTCTTGTGAATAATGATCGCAATATTAATATTTATAAGGCATTTTCTTCTATTTGTAGAGATTTATTCAATTAGAATATTTCGTATATACTTTATTTTTTTCAAGAACACACAAAGTAATCTTTGTATTTTATTTACTACTAGAAACTTGCGCATTGCTGCACTGTGACGACTCTTGCACAATGCTAGGCAACAGGCAATAGGAATAGGGAATAGAAACTATTCACTAATAAATACACGGAATAGAAAATATTCGTCAATAGGAGCAAAAAATAGACTATTTCTGTTCTTATTGCCTGTTGCTTAGCATTATGCAAGGGTCCTTATGATTATCATATCTATTATCTCTATGTTTATTTATCATATAAATTTCTCTATGTTTATTATCTCTCTATGTTTATCACATCATATAAATTTTAAATACTAGTATGTATAAAAATATACTTTCGTATATGTAATAAAATGTAAATTCCTAAATTGATATTCCACTTTACATCTTATATTTTACAATATAGTATATATATAATTTGTAAAAATATCACTTATAAGCAATTCACGTTTTTACTCTTGTTAGTAAACATAATTTTTTTTAATATAATATAATATATATATATATATATATATATATATATATATATATACATATATACAGGGTGATTCAAAATAATCTGATGTCTTTGAAATATGATATTCTTGAACGAATTTTAAGACTATTTTTCCTGTTGAAAAATTTTGTTCAAACCTTAATTTTTGAATTATAATAGAAAATAGTTGGCTATTCACGAGACTGATACAATCACCCTATAAGACAATATTCCTAAAATATTGTATAAATATTATTAACAGTTAATATTTATACAATATCCTAGGAATATTGTGTGTTTATAGGGCAGGGACGGCGCAACGCGTCACAAGACAAATGTTCTCCCGTTTCCCCAGACAGTCAATTTTATTGCACAATATTTGATTCTTTGAAGTGTTAAATTATTATTACAGTTTTTACACAATATTTAATAATATTATTACCGTCTAGGAAGATTATAACGAAACGCTTAAGAATAAAATATTCAAACGTGAAATTACATAAAATAACAAATAAACTGGAAATGAACGAATGAAAAACGAAATAGTAATCGGAATTTGATTCTTATCTTTAAGAAAACTGACGAATTTTATTTCTTTCTGGGGATTGTTTATCTTATAAATAACAGCTTCCAAATTTCATTTGACTTTACACAACAAAAATATTACTATTTTAACCCTTTAACTACGGCTGTCGTCAATAGACGACAAATAGGAATGCATATCCGTAGTTAAAGGCTTAATAATCTATTATTACTTGCAAATATTTACTTCCACACAAATTAAGACATAAAATAACACGATAAATAGCGATTAGAAGTCCCCATTTCTCTCTTTCTCTCAATTATTTTTTTTGTCAGTTTTTTTAAAGATAAGAATATTTAATCAAATTGCGATTACTATTTCGTTTTTCATTTGTCCATTTCCAGTTTATTTGTTACTTTATGTAATTTCGCGTTTGAATATTTTATTCAATATGTTTGAATATTGTTACGCCCAAGGCGAAGACTTCGAGATATATCGAAGTCGCGCACTAGCGGATCATCAGAGGTTGTAAGTCAATAACAAGATACTTTTAGAGAACTTTAATAAGCAACACAGAACACAAATAATAACTCAGAATAATAACACAACGGATTAATAATGGCTCGTACATAAAATGCGTCCGTATAGCTTGACAACTATCTTCCAACTCAGCTGACTATCGTTGTTTATAAACATTCTTCTTGGCTACGGAATCCGGATAACGGCAGGGCCGTAACAGCTCGGGCGCGTAACACTGCCCTCCTCTTCAAGATTGTCGTCCCGAATCAGCAAGGGGTTTCGTGACTTTCCGTGGACTTTCAGGGACCCCTAATATCCTGCTCTCCCTGAGCTGTTGCTGTAAGTTACGAGCATCGCTCCGACCAGGCCCCAATCCACTGGGCAGACTCCCAATCGATTCCTTCCAGTGAGTTGGCCAGACCCTCAAGAATCGACTCCAGGACAGCCTTCCATCCCTTTAGTCAGCTTCTTCGTGCTCGGCGCAAGTCTATCCTTTTGTCCTCATCTTCCCGTTGCGTGCCTTTTTTCAGACAAAAGGGGGGGATATCCACCGTAAACCCATCGTCTTAAAAGGACTTCCCAAGTCCCTGCCTCGGCATTCGCTTTCTGGCCCAAACGGGAAAACCATGGCTCAAAAATCATGGGCGAGGCAGTCTTTCGGCTCAGCGATTCACTGGCTCCGTAAATGTTTAAGTTCAGTCAGCTTCCGCAAACTTCTCTAAAGAATAAGATAATTTTGCACAGTAAACAATGCAATTTAAACTCAATTCCTTAAACTACCGCATTGCGGACTATTCCTTAACAAGCTTTAACATCTTTCGGAAAAAGAAGCTAACTCATCCGCGTGCACAATTTTCTTCTTGTGTTTCGGAGATCTTTGAATGCAATAAACTACGTCATTTAACTCTCATTATCAAGAAAGGACCGTCCCAATTGCTCTGTAATTTAGGGAATTTTCCCTTTATTCTTGGATTATACAGGGTGTCTCATTTTATTTTTGACAGTCAAATATCTTATTATTATGATATTACTTAGAGTAAAAAAAAAAGGTTTAAAACAAAAGTTATATGGCTTGAAAGGAGCCATAAGATGGTGTCATTGGTTTGACCTTGAAACGGCTTATGTAAAATTAAGAAATGATTTCAAGCCTCATATCTCAGAAAGTACTTAATGAAAACTAACTTAATTATAGTGTTTTGGAGAGCTCTCGAGATGAGCTACAAGAATATTCAATAAAAAAATAGGCAGTTCCATTTAAAAAGTTAGAGATGACCTTCACGTGACCTTCAAGTGACTCTTCAAAATCAAATTAATGGCACCATCTTCTGTCTCCCTTCAAGCCATACAACTTTCGTCTGCAACATTTTTAGATTTAATGCATTTTTAGATTTAATGTTTCTGAGATATTCACGTGTATTGATTAAAATGGTCTACCCTGAATATACAGGGTGAGGCATCTAAAACAGGCCACCTGAATAACTCCGTTGGTAAGCCGAATACAAAAAAATTGTTCAGACAAAAGTTGTATGGTTTCAAGGGGGACATATGATGGTGTCATTAGTTTAATCTTGAAGAGCCACCCGAAGGTCACGTGAAGGTCAGCTCCAACTTTTTAAATGGGACACCTTATATGCTTTTGCACATTCTTGTAGCTCATCTCAAGAGCTTTCCAAAACACTACAATTATGTTAGTTTTCATTAAATACTTTCCAAGTTATGAGGCTTGAAATCATTTTTTAATTTTACATAAACCGTAAAATATCTTGTAAAATATTCATTTTTCGATTATTTTACCTTAATACTTTTATGTACAAAATAATGAGAAGAATCAATTGGTGTAAAGAAAACACATAATTGCTTCGAACAAAAAAATGTAATTGTTAATTGCAAATTACATTTTTTTGTTCGAAGCAATTATGTGTTTTCTTTACACCAATTGATTCTTCTCATTATTTTGTACATAAAAGTATTAAGGTAAAATAATCGAAAAATGAATATTTTACAAGATATTTTACGGTTTATGTAAAATTAAAAAATGATTTCAAGCCTCATAACTTGGAAAGTATTTAATGAAAACTAACATAATTGTAGTGTTTTGGAAAGCTCTTGAGATGAGCTACAAGAATGTGCAAAAGCATATAAGGTGTCCCATTTAAAAAGTTGGAGCTGACCTTCACGTGACCTTCGGGTGGCTCTTCAAGATTAAACTAATGACACCATCATATGTCCCCCTTGAAACCATACAACTTTTGTCTGAACAATTTTTTTGTATTCGGCTTACCAACGGAGTTATTCAGGTGGCCTGTTTTAGATGCCTCACCCTGTATATATATACTGAATATGTATGTATACAGGGTGTTTCATTTTAATCTAGCCAGGCGAATATTTCCAACGCTGTTAAGTTTAGAGAAAAATGTTTCAGACAAAAATTGTAGGGTTCGGAGGGGGACACAAGATGGTACCATTGGTTTGACTTTAAAGAGTTATTTGAAGATCACATGAAGGTCACCTTCAATTTCTTAAATGGAACTACATTTTCTCATTATATATTCTTGTAGCTTATCTCGAGAGCTTTCCAAAACACTAATTAAATACCTTTTCGTTAAATACTTCTTGAGTTATAAGGCTTAAAATCATTTCTTAATTTTACATAAACCATAAAATATCTTGTAAAATATTCATTTTTCGATTATCTTATCTTAATACTTTTATGTACAAAATAATGCGAAAAATCAATTGGTGTAAAAAAACACATAGTTGTTTCTAAAAAAAAATATGTAATTTGCAATTAACAATTCCATATTTTTTCTTAAAAACAACTGTATGTTTTTTTTTGCACCAATTGATTCCTCTCATTATTTTGTGCATAAGAGTGTTAAGGTAAGATAATCGAAAAATGAATATTTTACTAGATATTTTACGGTTTATGTAAAATTAAGAAATGATTTCAAGCCTTATAACTCAAGAAGTATTTAACGAAAAGGTACTTAATTATAGTGTTTTGGAAAGTTCTTGAGATAAGCTACAAGAATATGTAATGAGAAAATGTAGGTTCCATTTAAGAAATTGAAGGTGACCTTCATGTGACCTTCAAATAACATTTCAAGGTCAAACCAATGGTACCATTTTATGTCCCCCTCGAAACCATATAACTTTTGTCTGAAACATTTTTCTCTAAACTCAACAGCGTTGGAAATATTCGCCTGGCTAGATTAAAATGAAACACCCTGTGTGTGTGTGTATATATATATATATATATATATATATATATATATATATATATATATTAAAAATTAATTATATATATATATATATATATATATAATTAATTTTTTTAATAGTTATCAATTTTTGTACCTCTTTGGCGATCCAATGGAAAGACATAAGTACTTTAATATCACTCGGAATGATGTTGCATCAATGATAACAATGGCATTTTTCATCAAAGTTTTGGTTCGTATTCATTCATTGTTTGATTGTAATATCGTTAATATGAGTTTTTTCTGCCACTGCATTTAGAATCCCAAGAAAAATTTTCTGTGTCCAATCTAAGAGCTCTATATTTCTTATTGCCTCCACGTGAATCTTATACACATATAAAACAATAGGCACATTTATAATTATGTTTAAACTATTAGAAATATATATTATATTTAAAATTTAAGTCAGAGAGCTGTAGGATTATAGTCAATCATAGCATTCAGAATAGGTAAGGAAGTCATCATTTTGTAAGTTTTTTTATAAGTTTTTGTATTTTATAATTAATAGATAATATAAAAGAAAATACTATTCTAGAAATATTTGTAATAATTTAAACAACGCTTGATAATATAATCAAACTGCAAACTATAATTTTATTTATTATAATATTCATTATTATTTATAATCAATTATTGATATTTATTTATTTTTACAATTTATTTATTATATAATTAAATTGAAACTTACAGTATGAATCTGCTGTGATCCAAGTTTAGTATTTGCAGCTAGACATCCTAATTCAAATTTTACTTTTTTTACGAATAGGCTTTCTCTATCCATAGCTCGCCTCTTATGTCAATGATCTTGGGAAATACAACAATGGTAAATATACTGATATAAACTTACAAGGAAAGGTACCCAACTGTCACTCACGGATTCTGATGAAACTTTGTACACTTGTAAAACTATGCAAAATAATAGACATGTATTTTTTTTATCTGCGGAGAAGCGATTTTGAGGGCAGAAACAACTGCCCCATTTACTGTAATGTAACTTTAAAGTCTTATAACTCGGAAAATACTTGACGTACAGTAACATTATTATAGTGTTTTGGAAAGCTCTCGAGATAAGCTACAAAAATATGCAACAAAAAGTAGGTGGTTCCATTTAAAAAAATGGAACCACCCTGTATACAAGGGGTTGTTTCTGTCCTTAAAATCGCTCCTCCACAGATAAAAAAAAATACGTGTCTATTATTTTGCATAGTTTTACAAGTGTACAAAGTTTCATTAGAATCCGTGAGTGACAGTTAGGTATCTTATCTTGTTAGACGCATTGGCATTAAAAATGATTCAAACATAATACATACATATGTATACACACATACATACACATATTGATACAATAGAATTTAGCTTTATTTTGATCTAAATTATAATAATAATTTGTAATTATACAAGTAATTTATCTATATTTATCAATAATGTAGTATTCATTAAAAAAAGTATAAAAATATAAATCATGATAGAAAAAAAATATACATTTTAATATACTGTAATAGATGCTTATTATGATACCATTTTTATAATTAAATATAAATATACGTATAGATAAGTATAGAAAAAAAAAATATATATATATGTATATATAATATTTTTTTCCAAATAAAGCAGTTTAAACGCTATTTGCTTCATGGTTATATTACAAAAAAAATGTTTGAATATAATGTTCATACAATTATATATAATTACCCATATTCTGTTGCTTACTTATTCTTCTTGCTTAAAATGCTCCAAAAAATGCCTAAATGTTAATTAATTCTGCTGTTTATTAAAGGCCTACCTGATTCCGGCAGAGAGGCCACACAGAGCCATGCTCTCTTACTTCATGGTCTCTTACTTCCATAATCTTCGTGGCCATGATCATGCTGCCATTTTTCCTGGAAAATACGGACATAGACTGAACTTTTGACTATGGCTACGTTCAAGCAGAAAAAGGTGCTTTACAACCGCTGTAAAATTCGTGAGTCTGATTGGTGTATGCTCTTAATTTTGGTTGAATCTAAGAGTATACACCAATCAGATTCACGAATTTTATAATAGTTGAAAAGCAGCTTTTCCTGCTCAACGCAGCCTATATAATCATGGGCTGTGTTCCAATATTCACTGCCAGTACTGAAAATTTCTACTGTACGTTAGGGAATCGATCATATAATTTCTCTCTCATGTGAAATTTTTCACTTTTCACTTTTCATTTTTCGCTTATCCAAATTTTACGTGAAATTTTTCACGTATGGCGATTATGTACGTAGTTTGGATGTGCAGGAAGTAAAATTATTAAACATGGTTTAAATATTATTAAAATAATATATAATTATTATTATAATTCACAAGAAAATCTATAACCTTCTTTCTATCTGCAATGTAATACTACAAGAATGTATTACCAGAGAGGAGACTGAGAGGAGCCGTCGTTTTTTGTGTGACGGTCTAAGCCGCGCAGTGGCAATCCATTTTAGAGCCGATGGAACTACATGGCCAGATCTATTTTTCGATGCCATGGTAAAACCATCGATTGGTGCGTGTCCGGACTAGGGCCGGTATTCATAGTCCGATCTTATATTTGAGATCGTCTTAAGGTGCAATTTCATTGACGCTAAAAAGTAGCGTCAACCATTGGTTGAACAAAGAAGTAAGTAGTTGCTTCTTTGTTCAACCAATTGTTGACGCTACTTTTTAGCGTCAATGAAATTGCACCTTTAAAGGTGCGGCCTCATTGACGCTAAAAAGTAGCGTCAACCATTGGTTGAACAAAGAGGTAAGTATACTTACCTCTTTGTTCAACCAATGGTTGACGCTACTTTTTAGCGTCAATGAGGCCGCACCTTTAAGTTCGAGCTTGAAATGCTACGCAGCTATTTGATTGGTTGAATGAGGTCTTAAGTCAACCTCCAAACAGACTTAAGACGATCTTAAATATAAGATCGGACTATGAATACCGGCCTATGAATACCAGCCATAGTATCAGATTACAGTGGGACGACTCTCGTCGCCGCGCGCTTCTATTCACGCAGATTGGCCGATCTTCTTTATTTAATTTTTCGTTAATTATTGCGACAATCACGAAACAATAGAAGTCCTTCCTTCTTAATTTGAGCCAATCTACCTCCTTACTTCGTCAAGGCCAAAAATTCACTGACACCCTGTATACGCGAAGAATTATATAAAGTTTGCAAAGAGTAACAAATAACATTAAAGATATACTGTTCAATTTAATTTCTCATCTCAATGCTTCAGATATTAAGTTGATTTTATAAGTCGAACAAGTAAATGTCCGGCAAATAAACGAAAATAATCCGTTCATTACTTATTTAAAATGTAAAGTACAATATGCGAATATAAATTATAAATAAAATTTTTATATGAAATTTTTATGTAAAATTTTATATGAAATAGATAAATTATATTATTATTTAGGGATTAAAGCATGTCCAACAATTTCATAAACAGATATATCACGGACGTCCACTGAATGTCCAAAGAACGTAAAACGGTCATCTGTGGATATCCTCAATATCCTTAATGATCATCTTATGGATGTCCTTCGGATATTTGTGTGCTGTTTGGGAGAAGAGGAGAAATTTATAAAATTTATATCTTCAATTATTTATTCATTAATAAATTTATGTTAAATTATTGTATACTTTTGTTTGTTAAATTTATGTTAAATTATTGTATACTTTTATTGTATACTATTGTATACTTTTTAGATATTTGAGCATCTATATAGCAATGCTAATATAGAATTCTAACGTGTGTATATTAAATCAAAATTCTATATGTAGTAAAATGATTTTATAATTATTTAATCTATTATTTCGTAGAATTATCAACTTGTTCCTCTTAAAGTGTCTATTTCTTGGAAAATCTAGAATTTCTCAAGAATTTCTTATATATATACATGGAAAAATAAAAAAATTCTCATAGAATTTTATTGAAATTTTTTAAACATTTTAAAAATTTTCTCTTTGATAATTTTATTCGTATATTATAAGCAAGTCAAATAATGTGTATGTGAATTATGTATTTAAAATATATTATAAATATATATCTAATCTCTATTTATATATTCAATATCGTAAAATATCTCAAAATATTTAATCTGTTGTACATATTTTTTATCGTATTTTTTGAGTAGTAAAAAATGAAGATATTATGCAAATAAGAAATTGTTTATTTTACAAAATTATTTAGTTTTGTCAATACATTTGTAATTCTAGCATTTGAAATTTAATTTAATTTAAAGACCTTCTTTCTTTTATATGTAACACCGAAAAATCTTTAAAGTATTCTTTTTAATATTTTTTTAAATGTCTTGAAATTGTGAAAATATTTAAAAAATCAAGGAATTTTCAGGAAATTTTTTATGACAAGATTTGAATAAACGTTCTGTTCTTTATTGAATAAAAACTATAAGAATTATTAATTAGTTTATTTTAGAAAATTTAAATTTAATTTAAGCTATTATTTTGTATTCAAATTGATGTATTTAATTAAAATTTAAGATAATTATTTACTCTTAGGATTAGAATTATTTACTCTTAGTCTTTACTGACCATTTCCTGATTTTAATAATTCTCACGTATGTTATCAAAGTCATCACACTTTGAGCAATGTTGTGAAAGTTTTAGTCAGTAGTCGTTGTTTATTAAAAAGTTATAAACAAAAAGTCTAATGAATAATATGTAATTTTATACAGAATATATGTATTTTTAAACCTATTTTTGATTTACAATTAAAATTTAATTAAATTAAATAGATTTGAATAAGTTATACCTTTCAAAAATGGAATTCCCCACGGGATGGCATCCACGTATGTATTTTGCAAACGAAATTCATTCTTAGCAAGGGTGAAATGTATATACGGTGTCATGAAATTACATATTATTCATTAGACGTTTTATGTTTATAACTTTATAATAAACAACGATCGCAATTAAAACCTTCATACAGTGATGATCGTGATAACGTATATGGGAATTAGTGAAATCGAGAGATAGTTCCTATAAGTAAATAATTATCAAATTTAATTTTTTCTCCTAAAATGTCATAAGTTAAGTTTTTTAATTGGATTAAAATATTCACCAATTATACAAATAAAAACATTTGCGATTTCTCATGAGATATAATTTAAAAAACGATGAAAAAAATATGGAATTTTGTTTATTTATTCTGCAATTTACGAGTTTTTTTCCGCATATAAATAAATTGAACAAAAATGAAGCTGAATAGAATATATAATTTTAATTAGTTTAACCATATTATATATAATACACTTATGTGTATGTGTAATGAAATGAATTATTCAAGGATTTGCAGTCATAAAATTTTCAAAGCATATTTAACAATTGAACATTTTAATATACACAGTATCTTATGACGTAATGTAAAAATTGAAGGAATATGTTTATTTTATAGTGTCATTTTTTTAAATAGAAAACGCCCTAGAAACATTACACCTTCATTTTGTACATGACGTTACAAAACACCTTGTACATTATTCGCATTTTTCTCTTTGAATAAGGAATTTTTAAGAATATATGCAAATATTTTGTATACATATACTCTTTCTTTATATCATATTATATTAAAAATCCTGGATATATAACCATATTAGTAACTACATTGTCTCAATATACATGATAATTCCTTGTCAACTTGCTTTAAATAGACACTTTCATACACCACACACACATAGATACACACACACACACACACACGTATGTATGTATACTGTAAGAAAATGATTTTAAATTCCGAACTAAACAAAAATAAAAGAAAAACAATGGCATCTAGATTTTCTAAATTCTAAAAAATTCTAAAAAAATTAAAATATTATGTAAATCTAGAAAAAACATTAAACGCTCATAATACGTTATTCGAAAAAAAATTTAATCTTACATTACGATCAGGAGATTTACATTATCATCCTATTTTAATATACATATAAAATCCTAGAATACAGTGCCGCGCACCACTCCAGATTTACTCGTTTCTTGTCCTTGAAATTTATAATTAATATATTTAATATGTTCTACTTGTATTGGAAGAAAATTGCAGGCTATATATTAAATAAATAATAACAATTTATCTTAAAAAAGATGTTCCTTTACTTAGATCAACCTCGAATCAATTCTTCTTCGTATGAATCGCGCAATTTACAAAGAAATTAATCGAGAAAACAAATAAACGCGATACGAATGTAATTGAATGTTAGTACATTAGTTTTATCTGCATAAAATACATTTTATAAAAAAAAAATTGCCTAATCTCTACGCATTATAACAATGTGTATGTATGCATTACGATATATAAGTACCAGCACATATTATTAAAAACAAAAAAATTATATTTTGTCAACTTACATTTATATCTATTAAGTATACGCTTTTACAATTGTTGTTTTTTTTTATTCATAAAATTCGCATTTATATACGATCGTAAAACAAAACTTATGACAAAGTAAGCTCGAAATAAAGAAAAAGGAACGCGCATACATGCATTCTATATGCGAAAAAATATCAAACACAGCGTCGAAAAATGATGCTCTCCCTCTCATTCGAACAGCTCTCGTTAAAAAGTTTGTCGCGATTATCATTTTTTAACAATCCAGTTTTTTCATTATTAAAGGCGCAAAGTGAACGTCTAATATTACGTTTTTAGATTAAAAAAAAAGTTGATTCAATCGACGAGTCCAAATATTGGAGCATGATCGAACGATCTCAACTTTGGAAGTCGTTTGTGTTAATACAATTCCATTTTTCTCTCTTAACCATAAACAATTATACTAATCTTTAAAGACACACAATAATTAATCGAGTAGTATATGCATCGATGAGTCTCACCCTGGAGTGGTGGCGGTCAAGCAATAGCTCTCATTAAAATCACTTCCGTCATATTTCTTGATACTAAAGTTATGTGAAAATAATTATGAACAGTACCTTGCACTTGTCACTCAGTTTGAGTGCAAGCACGTGTTTTCCATCGCTGCGCCGTGCAATACGTGTGGACGTGAACACAGGAACCAAGTTGTCTGTGCGTGTGTGTGTGTGTGTATTAAATTAATGGAAGCGTCTGTATTTTTCGTAATCAATCACTCTTCTATGAAAACAGATCATGCAAGTTTTCCTCAAGTATAAAAGGAATCTACCCGTGAGAATGATTGACTAAGTTTCCACCGAGAGTTCGAATCGGGTCAGAGTTGGGTCAGAGTCGGGTCAGAGTCAAGTTGAGGTGAACTTTTTATGGTGGAAACACCAATAAACCCTATTCTGACCCAACTCTGACCCGATTCGAACTCTCGGTGGAAACTTAGTCATTGAATTCAGTATGTAAAATCTGAGGGAAGAGAGAACAAATGACTGTAATTTCATATAATCAATGTAAGATTTAGAATAAAGGAAAAAAAGTAATTATGTGTTATATATGTACGAATGTCTGTGGATGCCTGGAAATATAATCCACATTGTATACGTGTAGACTTAGTTCATCGTTTTTCACTTAGTCACGATTTGAAGACGGGTTACGCCCGCATATCGAAATAACAAGACCAGAATTTTTCTTATCAAAGACATTATATACAAAATATTTTATTTCCTCTTTTCTCTTTGATTGAGCAATGGCAATCAACATATTATATTCATTTGTTCAGCTACGAAAATATAAAAGTATGTACAATTCAATAAATTAATCTTCATCTAAAGGAGTACGGTCGTCGCTGTACAATACAATAGATGATTTCGCAAAATTAGCTACAATCCATAATAAGATTATAAAAGGATTGACTGGCATCTCATACAGATGGCAATGATGGAATTCTTTCAGATGTTTATATATACATACATGTGTTTCTCTACACATACATGCATATATAAATTTCTACACTGCGTTATCTAACATAAAAGATAGAGGAAAGAAAAAAATAGATTGCAAGAAGAATTTCTCTCTCTCTCTCTCTCTTTCTCTCTCTCTCTCTCTCGATTAAGAAATCTGAAAATTTCTGTGTGTGTATATATATATATATATATATATATATATATATATATATATATATATATACACATCTCTACATGGATAAACAGGTCCTGTGTTCACTATCACAGCAATTAATTTAGGCAGCAGATTTCGATTGAGAAAAAATCTTGATCGAGACTTACACGAGAGTTAACAACTGAGAATACTTTGACGACTGAAAGATACTTAAAAAAAAAAAAAAATAAAAGACAAAAGAAAACTCACTGGCACCCAACGACTCTCCACCACTCCAGAATGCGATAATTCAGAATCCATAAAATCGAATCGTGTTTTCACTCTTTCAATCTCTCTCTTTCTTTCAATCGTTCTTTCGCATGACTCTATGTACATCGATTCAAATGATATTTTACACGAATCTGCCTGAAGATTCTTTATGCTTTACTTTGGTAATTTTTTTCAATATCGATCTTTCTTCTTCCTTTTTATCTTTTTCTTTCATTCTCTCGCTCTTTTTCTATTTTTGTTTATAACGAACTCACTTGTTCCACTGATTGATCACTATAGTTCTCACTGAGGTGCCCTATTTGTTCAATCGGTTGCACCGCACTTTGTTGGGCTGAATTCTCAGCTGGAATGGGTGTTTCGTATTCACACTGTTCCTGCTGCTTTAGTGCTAAATCATTGTTAGGGAAATGGTCCGCGTGGTCAATTTCGTAAATGTTAGCTCGATTTTCATCATTTCTATAGCTGGCCTCACGGTTGCCCTCGTTCGATACACTCCCCAATTCGTTCTCTACGTCACCGCGCATCGCGTCTTGTTCGCGAGCTGTCAGTTCTTGTTCCCTCTGCATTAAGAGATCGTGTTGGTCGGTGGAAGATGAAGTGTCAAAATTACCCTTCGCTTCCAGTTCCCCACCGCCGTCAGCAAACGCTTTCGTTTTGCTCTCGGCGTCCTCTGACGGCTGTATCTCGTCATCCATAAGCGGTGGACTGATGTTACCCCATCTCGACTTGCGATTCCGATTGCGATTCTCGGATATGTTTTTGTAATCTTGATGCTTCGCTAGAAGTTTTTGCTTGTCTCGCGATGGTAAATGATTTTCTCGTTGCCCATGTCCATCGGGATCCTGCCCGGACCATGACGCAGGCGGTGGTCCACCGCCGCTCTCCTGATTTCTCCACAGTCCATCCGGTCCGTGCATAACTGGCGGACCTATCGGGCCAAATGGCGGTCGAATATGCGGCCCGGGACGACCGCGCATTTCGTCAAATGGTGGTCGGAAAAAGGAATCTGCTTCTCTGGGATCAAACGGCGGTCCTCGGGGCGCAAACGGTGGCCTCATCCCAGGTCTCATACTTCTCGGACCCATTCCTCGTGGATGGAACATTAGAGGACCTGCAAAAGACCACGGCAAGATGACGCACGCGAGTAATGAGGCATAAACGCATACAATATATAGGAAAAAGTCCGGATACCCCTTAATATTTCGAAAAAATGTTTCATACAAAAGTTATAAGGTTTTATATGGCGCATTACACAGCAACATTATTATGACCTCGAATAGCGTTGTTAAGGTTATGTGAAGGTCAGCTTCAATTTTTTAAATGAGACCCCCTATTTTTCATTGCATATTCTTGTAGCTTACCTCGGGAGCTTTCCAAAACACTATAATAAATTATTTTTCCATGAAGTACTTTTCGAGTTATGAGGCTTGAAATCATTTCTTAATTTTACATAAACCATAAAATATCTTGTAAAATATTCATTTTTCGATTATCCTATCTTAATATTTTTATGTACAAAATAATAAGAGGAATCAATTAGTGTAAAGAAAACATATAGTTGTTTCTAAGAAAAAATATGTAATTTACAATTAACAATTCCATATTTTTTCTTAAAAACAACTGTATGTTTTCTTTACACCAATTGATTCCTCTCATTATTTTGTTCATAAAAGTATTAAGGTAAAGTAATCGAAAAATGAATATTTTACAAGATATTTTATGGTTTATGTAAAATTAAGAAATGATTTCAAGCCTCATAATTCATGGTTCAAAAGTACTTCATGGAAAAATAATTTATTATAGTGTTTTCGAAAGCTCTCGAGATAAGCTACAAGAATATGCAATGAAAAATAGGGGGTCCCATTTAAAAAATTGAAGCTGACCTTCACATAACCTTGACAACGCTATTCGAGGTCAAAATAATGTTGCTGTGTAATGCGCCACATAAAAGCCTATAACTTTTGTATGAAACATTTTTTTAAAATGTGTATTTTTCAAAATATTAAGGGGTATCCAGACTTTTTCCTAAGCCTGTATATTCGTAATTGTGTGTGTGTGTGTGTGTGTGTGTGTGATTGTCGTAATTAATAAAATATAACTTTGCTTGACACATATTATCATTTTATAGATATTTTGTATGTTCTATTTTAATATTATAGATGGAGCGCGTGAAGAGATTGAGTAAACGAAAATTCTGATATCCAAAAATTCACATAAGATGTATATAAGACTAACGCATATAAAAACTGTATAAAATATAAGAATATTTATAAAATAAAATTTATAAGAGTATTTTTATAAGTGTATTTTTTGATACACTTTCTAACACGAATTAATAAATTGTTTCGAGTATTTTGGAAAATATTTGGAGCGAAGTCGACAGAGGAATTTTTGAGCATCTTTTGTAAAGCTTTAAACAAAATAAAAAACATTAAACAACATTTATTTCAATTTATATTGTCTTAAGAAAGCAACTTTTTATTACTTTATAATTCCAAAACCGTTCGAATTCGGATATGTTTATTAACATTTTCGACTTGTTTTCATGTCCTAAAGCTGCTGTATCAATTTTGACACTGAATTCAGAGACACTGTATATACAGAGTGGGCCATTTTAATCAAGCGATGCGGTAGCGTCATCTCCAAACATGTAACTTTTAAAAGAAAACTTTTTAGAAAAAGGTTGTTTAGTTCTGAGGGGGACAGAAGATAAGAATATTAGTTAGACCTTGGGTGGCGTTGTTAAGGTCACATTGATTTTGTTAAATTAAAACTCCTATTTTTTATTGCATATTCTTGTAGCTTATTTCGAGAGCTTTCCAAAATACTATAATAAAATATTTTTTCATTGAGTACTTTTCAAATTATGAGGCAAATTGAAATAATATCTTGATTTTACATAAACCATAAAATATCTAGTAAAATATCCATTTTTCGATTATCTTACCTTAATACTTTTATGTACAAAATAATGAGAGGAATCAATTGGTGTAAAAAAAACCATATAATTATTTCGAAGAAAAAATATATAATTTGTAATTAACAATACATATTTTTAAGGTAAGGTAAGATAATCGAATAATGAATATTTTACTAGATATTTTATGGTTTATATAAAATTGAGATATTATTTTAAGCTTCATAACTCGAAAAGTACTTAATAAAAACTAACTTAATTATAGTGTTTTGGAGAGCTCTTGAAATGAGCTACAAGAATATACAAAAGCATATAGTGTTCCATTTAAAAAGTTGGAGGTGACCTTCGCGTGACCTTCAGGTGACTCTTTAAGATCAAACTAATGGCACCATCTTATGCCCCCCCCCCCTTGAAACCATATAACTTTTGTCTGAAACATTTTTCTCTAAATTGCTTCGTTTTCGAGATATAAATTTGTAACACTTTACGTGGGCCATCCTGTATGTGTGTATATGTATGTATGTATGTATGTATGTATGTATATATATACATATACATATATATATATATATATATATATATATAATGTGTGTGTGTGTGTGTGTATTGTATAATACACATACAATTTCTGTATTGGAACAATTTGTTATTTTTCATCTTCTTTCTCTCTTTTTTCCAGCTTTAGGGAATTAGACTGTTTAAGAATATTAATTATTATGATATGTACTATATGTTTATGTATTTATAACCTGTTATTAATATATATGCTATATAAAATTCAATTGATTACTATTACAAAATATAATTTGAATGTTTTAATAATATTTAACTTAATGAATACTCATTTATAAATCAGAAATTTTTGATAGCTCTTATATTTCAATTGACAATATCTAAAATAATAATATAAATAATATGTAATAATATAAAATACTAATATAATTATGAAAATTGCTCAGTCTGTTAAAATAAGACTGTCTCAATATTGTGAAAAAAATTTTTTATATTTGTCCAAACATGCCAATAATATTAAAATTTCATATATAAGATGTTTCATATAAATTGTTACAAGGTATTTTCTTTAAGATTTGACACTGTACAAAAAATGTTTTAGACAAAATTTATAGAATTTTGAAAGAAAGGAAAGTTGATAATCTTGAATTAAGATCCTTCTTTTCTTAAAGTCATGTGAAAAGCAATTTAGTTTTTTTTAAATGAAACTATCTCAATTTTTTAAATGAAACTATCTCAATTTTTTGCAATATTAGGCATAAAAATCTATAAGGATAGGATGGTCGAAAAAAATTGAATATAAAATTATCGAATCAAAATGTAAACTATTTCAATTTTTTCCATCCTACTAACTTTTTACGTCGCATATTGCGAGAAATTGATTTATAAAAAATTAAAATTCATTAAATTAAATTAGATTGTCTTTCACATGATCTTGTAAAATTACTTTAATTAAAATCCAAGATTGTCAATTTTTTTCTCTCTCAAAACTTTATAAATTTTGTCTGAAATATTTTTTATATGATCAAGTTTCAAAAAGGATACTTTGTAACCCTTTATATGAAATATCCTGTATATAAGCAACGTGTTTCTTGCTAACAGAAAAGAAATATTAAACAGTCATGAAGAAAGGATTAAAGAATTGTCTTACCAGGTCCTCTGGATCCGCGTGGTCCAAATCCATCGGGTCCTCTCGGCCCCTTTGGACCCATCAATGGCGGCATTCCGAACACAGGTTCTAACGGGCCAAAGAATTCTCTTCTGCGAGGATCAAAGTCTGGTCGCTCGTTGTGACCTCTGGGATCAAACCCATCTTGCATTCGCGGATCGAATCCATCGCGCCTTATCTCATACTCGAAACGCTCTCGTTCATATTCATCCACAGGTGGTCTACGACTGCGCACTTCCGGTCGTTCGAACTCTTCACGAGTCGGACCCAGCCTGGCCGGCGGAAAGTCATCAGGCCGGGGCCCATTGTGACCTAATCTTCCCTCGTAGTCCTCCGGGAATATGCCAGACTGCATTCTAGGGTCCAAGAAGTCGTCCATTTGTGAACTTCTTGGACCACTGCGCGGTGGGAAATTCTGTCGGTCAGATCGATCAGTTAGACCGCGCTGCGGAAATTCCCGCGCGTCCTGTGGTCCACCTCGGAAATCCGGTCCTCGTGGAAAATCTGTTCGATCTGGTGGTAGAACTCCGCTAAACTTCGGCAAATCCATCAATGAGATCGGCATGTCGCTGAGTGGTCGCCGCACAGCTCCTCCTCCTCCTGCGGCTGCTGTTGCTGCTGCTCCTCCTCCTCCTCCGCCACTTCCTGCTCCTCCTCCTCCTCCTCCGGGGCTCTCCTCAAAATTCCTGTCGGTTCGCTCGTTACTGCGCTCAATTGTTCGGTTACCGCGTACATTTCTATCCATTCGATCATCCAACGGCAACGTACCATCCGCTAATTGTCGTAGTCGATCAGCTAAACTAGGCTTGCCTTCTTTTTTCGCCATGCTCTCGTTTTCCTGGACGTTTTGATTCTGTGCATTCAATCCCTCTGAATGTCTGGCGCCGCTGTCCCGGTTCTCCCGGGTCTCTCGATTCTCTCTGTCACGTCTTTCATCCCTCTCCCTGTCCCGACCTTCGCGATTGTCTCTCCGCCTATCTCGACCGCGATCTCGTCCTCGTCCTCTGTCTCTGCTACGATCCATCCTGCATTCACCTACGTCCATACGATCTCCACGATCTCGTTCATTCCGATCTCTTCTCTCCCTATTTTCTCGATCGCGTTCCCGTTCCTTATATTCGCGAGCTTGATCGTTCTCCAAACGACCATCGTTCACGTTACCACCCATATTCATCGCTGCGATTAACTGATCGCTGAGGTTTGGCTGCTTATCTTTGAGCACATTGTTACTTAGATTCTGCGGCATCGCATCCTCCATCTCCACGTCCATATCGTCTGAATGATGTTGTTGAGGTAGTTGCATTTGCATTGGCGGCGCCGGACCCACTCCATACGGCTGCCGTAGCATTGGCAAATTCGGCATATTCGTCTCCGTTGTGGGTGGCGGTACTCCGATCGGCGGAACGTTGTGCGGCATACCTGAAATATTTCCGGATGTCTTTGTATTTTGTTTGACTGTAATCAACTGGTTTTGCTGAGTATTACGTTGTTTTCATTATGGACAGTGTTTGCTGTAAATAATTTCAAAATTATCTAGATAAAGATAAAGATAAAAATCCGTAAATTTATCTTAGATGAGATAAAGATGATTTTGCTTTTACTTAATCTAAATGAAAGATGAGATGATTATTGCGATAATCTAGATAATTATCTAGATATTTTTGTTTATTTTATAAGACTATAAATATTTGTAAAAAATATGACGTAGATTATAAATGGGATATTAAAATCATAAACACATATTCTTTCTCTTTTCCTAAAGAATATTTAAATAATAACAAAAAGGTATATAAATGATGTTAAATATTTATTTATTAATTTATATTTATAATATATTTATAATATATTAATAATATAATAATCAATGTGTAACAATATATATATCATTTTTATAAAATATACATTAATGCATTGCATAAATTTAAGTAAAACAAGTACAAGATAAAGTATATTTGTAATATTATTTTCCAAATAAAAAATATATTTTAGATAAATTTTTAGAAGCTTGCCTGGAAAACTCTTTTGCATAATGAAAACTTCATCTTAGACAATTTTTAGATAAGATGACATATTTTGATCTAAGATAAAGATAAAGATACTTTGTATTTCTTCATCTAGTTAAAGATAAAAATGATCTATTGCTTTATCTAGATAATTATCTAGATAATTTTATCTAGATACCAGAAAACACTGATGGATTCAATTAAACTTGAAAGAGAAAGTATGACTGCACTAACATTCGTTAGAGCTGATAAAAGTGACTCGATCTTCTCTTTTCCTTTATTCTATTAAGATTATATAGAATACTTTAAAACTCGGCCAAGATAAGAAAATAATATCCTCTGTCATTGTTTTTGAAATTTTAAATTACTAATTCAGAACCAAAATTGAAAATTCAATAGTATCAATATTTATAGAATTTTCATTCGATTATACATTGTATGTGGCGTTACACAGATACAGACACACACACACACACACTTGTAGGAAATAACATAGCTATTATAGAGCAATATTTAATTTATGTAATTGAAAGCAAAATGCTATTTTATCAATGATATTATACTTAGACCCGATTTCATCAACTTCGTTTAATTTTAATTTTAGCTTAACATTTTTTGTCTTTTTCTGAAGGAGCAGTTAAAAGGAAACAAAGAGTGAATTAAAGATTAAAGTTAAACGCGATTGGTGAAATCGGGCATTATTGTTTACATACCAGTAGAGTTTGGTTTATCCGAAGGCGCTGCAGCAGGTGCGGGCATCGGAATTTGCGTCAATAAACTTACGCCAACACCTGCTCCAAATGGCGGGTTAACTGATGGTGTTAACATGGTCTGCATCATACCAGGTCCCAGCAAACTCTGCATATTAGGCGGTGGAACTCCAATCGGAACATTGGGCATTAATCCATGCGTCATTTGTAGGCCCATGTGACTAATCATTCCTGTAAGATCATTCATAACATCTACGAACCATTTTAATATTTGTATATTAAAATATTATTCAAATATTAATATTTTAAATATTAATATTTTATTATACAAGGTATTTCATAAAAATTATAGATACAACACTCTGCGAATAGAGTATATAAATAAATTGAACAAAAGTTCTCTTTATCATTTTGTAATTTTTGCAATAATTATTGAAATATTAATTAAAAAGAATTGATGAATGAACGTGCGTTTCGCGCAAATAGGATGTGTGCTCTAAGTGTCCCATCAACGAGTACCATAGTCAAGACATGGGAAACAAGCATCTTCGATGACTCTGATTTATGTTATTAAGCACATGTCCCTGAGTGACATTAAAAAGATTTTAGCCGTCGCTCGTTCTTTATTATTAAAGTTATAAACAGTGTTTGCTAATAATTTCAAAATTATCTAAATAAAGATAAAGATAAAAATCCGTAAATTTATCTTAGATGAAATAAAGATGATTTTGTTTTTATTTAATCTAGATGAAAGATGAGATGATTATTGCGATAATCCAGATAATTATCTAGATATTTTTGTTTATTTCATAAGACTATAAATATTTGTAAAAAATGTGACGCAGATTATAAATGGGATATTAAAATCATAAACACATATTCTTTCTCTTTTCCTAAAGAATATTTAAATAATAACAAAAAAATATATAAATGATATGATAAATATTTATTTATTAATTTATATGTATAATATATTTATAATATATTTCTAATATATTTATAATATAATAATCAATGTGTAACAATACATATATCATTTTTCTAAAATATACATTAATGCATTGCACAAATTGAAGTAAAACAAGTACAAAATAAAGTATATTTGTAATATTATTTTCCAAATAAATATATTTTAGATATTTTAGATAGATTTTAGAAGCTTGCCTGGAAAACTCTTTTGCATAATGAAAACGTCATTTTAGACAATTTTTAGATAAGATGACATATATTTTTTGACATATATCTAAGATAAAGATACTTTGTATTTCTTCATCTAGTTAAAGATAAAGATTATCCATTTCTTTATCTAGATAATTATCTAGATAATTTTATCTAGATACCAGCAAACACTGGTTATAAACAATTAAGATAGTGACTAATCGATAATAATAGTAATGTAATGTAAATCTCGATTTGCGTGGAATACTGAAAATTTATATGAAATTATACAATAATAGATTACACTGAAAACAGGGAACAGTATTGAGTAAACCTTGTTTCATGTAAAAAGTTGAAACCTCATGCGGGACCATTGAATTAATTTTGGGTAAATCTGCATAAATTGCACTCTCAACAAGAAGTAAGAATAAACATCCCTTTATCTTGCAAAGTACATGCGTGGATTACACTGAGTTTCGCCTCCCTATCGAGGCTTCACTTCCGGAATATCTAACTTAAACCTATTTCTGATTTAAAACAAATCTGGTTTAAAATAAATTTGAGTTAGATTATATCTTCCAGAAGTGGAGCCTCCCCCTCGTAGGGGGGGGGGGCCAAGGTGAAACCCACTTTGTCCACGCTTATACTCCGCAAGGGAAGTTCATTTTACATATAATCTCCCGCTGAGAGTGCAGTTCATGCAGATTTACCCAAAATAACGGTATTAAACTTATTTTGTAAATAACTTTGTAATAAACTTTGTAATAAACTTAATAATAAACAACGAGCGACGAGTAAAACTTTTTACACGTTAATCAGGAACATGTCTTTGACAACATGTGTCAAGGTCATCGAAATTGGTGAGGTCATCGCTAATAATGCAGTTTTATCAATTCTTTTTAATATATAATTTTAGATAATTGGATTTAGATTATATAATATGAGATGTGCAAATTAAATCGGTAATCCTTTACATTAAACGTCGTGTAACTCTGATTCAAATTAAAAATTTTGTTCCGTCCTATGATGATATGAAAGTGCTAACTATAAACTTTAAGAAGCACTATAATAATTGACTCTATATAATTGACATAACTTTAAACAGCAGTGAACACGATAGCGATAGAGAAGTAGCATTTGAGGCACTTTTTCGTATTTGAATTGAAAAAAAATACTGTTAAAGCGGAAATGATTTGTCCCGCTTTGGGTAAAGACGTTATAAAACATGTGATATACAGGGTTTTTCGAAAAGTCCGGAAATGGTCGAGAATATCTAAAAAATAAAGCATTTTAGAGAAAAATGTTTCAAATAAAAATTGTTTGGTTTAAAGAGAGCTGTAAAATGGTAGCAATGGTTTGACCTTGAATAGTCGCTGGAAGGTCAAATGAAGGTCACCATGAATTTTTTAAATGGAACAGCCTGTATATTTTTGCACATTCTTGTAGCTTATCTCGAGAGCTTTCCAAAACACTATAATTAAGTTAGTTTTCATTAAGTACTTTCCGAATTATGAGACTTGAAATTATTTCTTAATTTTACATAAACTGTAAAATATCTTGTAAAATATTCATTTTTTTATTATCTTATCTTAATACTTTTACGTACAAAATAATGAGAGGAATTAATTGGTATAAAGAAAACACATAATTGTTTCGAGGAAAAAAAAAAAAAAAAAAAATGTAATTTGCAATTAACAATTACATTTCTTTTTCGAAACAATTATGTGTTTCCTTTAGACCAATTGATTCCTCTCATTATTTTGTACGTAAAAGTGTTAAGGTAAGATAATCAAAAAGTGAATATTTTACAAGATATTTTACGTAAAAGTGTTAAGGTAAGATAATCAAAAAGTGAATATTTTACAAGATATTTTACGGTTTATGTAAAATTAAGAAATGATTTCAAGTCTCATAACTCGGAAAGTACTTAATAAAAACTAACTTAATTATAATGTTTTAGAAAGCTCTCGAGATAAGCTACAAGAATGTGCAAAAATATACAGGGTGTTCCATTAAAAAAATTCAAGGTGACCTTCATGTGACCTTCCAGCGACTATTCAAGGTCAAGGCCACTGCTATCGTTTTATAGTTCTCTTTAAACCAAACAACTTTTATTTGAAACATTTTTCTCTAAAATGCTTTATTTTTTAGATATTCGACCGTTTCCAGACTTTTCGAAAATCCTGTATAAAAATCACTTGCCTAGTTCCATCGTCAGTATAAAAGAAGTTTTAGTGATTTTGCAGCACGATAACGTTCAACCACATGCTGCAAAAGAAAGGATCTCATCTACACCAAGCTAGGAAATTCTTTCTCATGTAGCTTATTCGCCGGATCTAACTCCATCGGACTACTTTCTGTTTCGGTCGCTTCAACATCATCTGGTGCATACATACTGCCAGATGATGTTGAAGTGACCGTCATATTAAAATTTTATCATTTTAAAATAGTTGACGAGGTTCGAAAAAGCATTAATAATTTTGAACGTTTTTCAGTTAGCGACATAGAGGACACAGTATAACATTGTGTCCATCACGAAGCGTTCCAACTATGATACAGTGTTACACTGCCTAACACAGAAAAATGCTAAGTACAAGCATCCAAATGTTACCAACATTGTAAAAAATTCTATAGATACTATTTAAATTGTGGTAATAATATCTTTGAACATAACTTTAAATAATACATTACACATATGCTATAATAAGTTATATGATTAATAATTATATACGTTTTACAATAAATTTTAGAGAATAAATAGATGGATTTTATTTCAGAAAAAAAAAATGAATTTAAGATATAAAAAATAAATATAATAAAAATTTTTTATTTATTTTCATAAACATTTGTTATGTGTTATATATAATTTTATATTATATTTTTCGGAATTTATATATCGGAATCTACATTGTAATAACATAATTTTTTCTTATAATTAAGGTCTTATAATGTATTATAAGACCTTAATAATTATATTATATAATTATATATTATATATTATATATTATATAATTATAATGTATTATTAGACTTTATAATGTATTATAAGATCAAAACCGCCCTCTACTGAAATTTTTAGAAATTAAAGCTACACTGATCGTTCCAATAAGAATTTTTACACAGTGTTACGAAATGTAATTTAGCGTGTCCTAGCTGGAAAACGTCCTTTATTGAGTCAAAACTGTCAAGTTTTTTCTGCGAGGGCATTCATCAAGCCCGGTAGATGGAGTAAAGTCATAAAATAATGGAAATTAAAAATAATGGAAATACAAAATAATGGAAATTATTTCGAACATTGAACTTTTACTTGACTTTTTGTAAATAAACATTGAATTTCATGAAAAAAGGTATCGAATTTACACATTTAATATATGATATATAATATGTAATGTATATATAGGGTGTACCAAGTCTGGAAACGGTCGAATATTTCATAAATTATGCATTTTAGAATGAAATGATTCAGACAAAAGTTGTATGGCTTGAAGGGGATCATAGGATGGTGTCATTGATTTGACCTTGAAAAATCGTTTGAAGGTCACCTTCAATTTTGTAAATGAAACCCCCTATTTTTTATTACTTAATCTTGTAGTTTATCTCGAGAGCTTTCCAAAACACTATAATAAAGTATTTCTTCATTGAGTACTTTTTGAGTTATAAGGCTTAAAATAATTTCTTCATTTTACATAAACCGTAAAATATCTTGTAAAATATTCATTTTTCGATTATCTTACCTTAATACTTTTATGTACAAAATGAGAGGAATCAATTGGTGTAAAAAAAAACCATATAATTATTTCGAAGAAGAAATATGTAATTTATAATTAACAATACATATTTTTTTCGAAATAATTATGTGTTTTCTTTACACCAATTGATTCCTCTCATTATTTTGTATATAAAAGTATTAAGATAAGATAATCGAAAAATTAATATTTTACCAGATATTTTACAGTTCATGTAAAATTAAAAAATTTATTGATTTCAAGGTTCATAATTCGAAAACTACTCAATAAAAACTAACTTAATTATAGTGTTTTGGAAAGCTCATCAGGCAAGCTACAAGAATATAC